TTTATTGAAATATTGTCGCTTGGATGATCTAATCATATTACTATTCTACTGATGTAATAGAATATACTTATTTATTTTTTACAAAAAAAAATTTAATTGAGTTGTCACCAGAATTCACGATTCAATACTCCAGGATGTGTTCGTTCGTGATTTATTTGTCCTCTTTCGAGTATAATGTATTTGTACTAAATTCAAATACAAATCTTGTCCTTACAATAAAGCACCATTCAATAGTCAATTATAATGTTGTTTTGTAAGCCAACTTGATTAAACAATCGACATTAATCTGTATGTATAAATGAATCCCTGTCTCTTAATCATGGCATCACGCTGGACCGATTTTGCTAATTCTTTTTTTGTTTGTTATTAGGAGATGGTTTGGAAAAGGTTTTCTTTGTGAGATTTTTTTATTTATTATATAATTGCGAATTCAATATTTTTAGTATATGGCAGAACACTGTCTATTGGGTCAGCCAATATTGAATAAACATTATTTATACCTTACCTTACTTGTACCTTAGTGAGTACCAGCTACTTCATCACGTGACCGGGGTAACTTGATTGACAGTAATAGCCCATGATCTTCTTAGTCTCAAATATCACTATGTATAGCTTTAATTTCTAATTATAGATTATATTGTGACTGGAGATAATATTTGTACTATACCCTCCTAATATTAAAATAAATATACCTCCAAATATAATAAAAGGGTAAAGTAAAGTTTTATCAAAGAAGTAATTGAGCAATTTGAAAAATATAATAACTATATTATCTGCGAATATCCATGAAGAAATCAAATATTAATAGAGAAATTATATCAATGACCATAATTGACAAGTATTATTATATTCTTTTATTCTGTTCACAAACAGAGTAAATAATAGAACAATTTTTTTATTGGGGGGTTTGGGTTTTTACAGGTGCTCGGGCCTGTAGCACTGCGACCTATAATACCATAGATTTATTGTGCTTGCCCTGTTTAGAGTTCGCTACCTAGACCCGTCAGGAATAAGAATTGAAGGATATTCTTAGGAGCGATGATTTTCATCTCTTCAGGATAGAAACATACTCATCACAATTATTTTTGTAAATATCTCAATATCTTTAGCAAAATCCCTTATTAGATTTGTTCAACACATAGAAAACCAGACATAACTTCGCAATATTTTATAAAAAAAACCTAATCTATGTCAATATTACTAGAAAGTGGGCCGATACGTATATTAAAGAAACTTCAAGTTCGTAGTTTGTATTACAAAACAAAATTAAACTGTGGATATCCGTAAAACGTATTAAAATTGATACTTAGTATGTACTTACGAGTAAGTATAAACAATAGACGGAAATATACAAAATCAATTGCTATTCAAAGAAGGTCAATAAACGTAGTCTATTATGGAGCGAGTGACTTTATGATCATAGAGGAAACTCTATAATAAACTAGTGACCCGCCCTTGCTTCGCACGGATGTACACTATACCTATGTACCGGTAGAAATAGTAGTAGAGTATAACTAAATACATATAATAAACATATAAACTTTCCGGACATATCAAAAATTGCTGCGTGCTTGGGAAGATGTAGTATGAGGAATCCAGGTGTCTCCGTAAATAAAATTCGGAAAATCTTTTTTATCGGAGGACAGGATAATTAGTTAACGCACGGGATTTTCATTTAACGTTACACCTACATAAGTATACAATGTAAATAAACTGGCTTTTAAAAAGAAAATAAATTTAATGGAGTTCTTGCCAGTTCTTCTCAGTTGGATCTGGACTGTACTGAACTGGATTGTAGGGAAAAAATACAAAGAAATGACGTTTATAAGGGATTAAAATTTCCTACATGAATAAATGATTTTTGATTTGGGTTGATTTGATTTTGAACAGCATAAACTGATATCAATAATAGTGAGCATAACATAGTTTAAGTGGTTTTATGATTATGACAAATTTTGCAACGAATCTAGTTTCACAACAATAGCTACTTGAAAAGAATCTATGGACTCTCGATTTCCTTTCAGCAACGTCATTACAAGGTTATTGCTACAGTGGCCGTGATGTACGTAGACGATTAACGGACAATAATAATTGTACGAGTATGGAAATAAAAAGAAACATGAACTTCAAATATCTAATAATAAGATTGAGTAGAATCACCCATTCTATTACAGATTATTATGAACTGTTCATAGTGAGTTCATAGTCCATTAGTAAATTAACTATAAAACTGTCTCCCATTACGCCACGTAGAATACTTTGTTAAGGACAACTATACAAACAAAGATATCCTGAAACATAAAGTATCTTTGTCTGACGAATAGTCAAGACAAGAGTGTTAGAAAGGTTTAAGTAGGTTCATCATATGAAAATAAAATTTATAATGTTCAAAATCGTTTTTATTTTCAATTCTTCTCTACTTGTACGTATTATGTCTAAAGTAAAAAAAGGTGTCTTTGACACCAGTACACTAATAATAATCAAACTTACGATTTAAATTAATTGTGGTCGAATTTCGACTATTGATCGACCACTAGTTAAAGTAAACAGACATAGATAAAGATGCAGGGATAATTACTGCATAACTGATTTTGAAATAAGTAATGTCGTATAGATGTACGATATTGAATACGTAATATGGTAATACTTACTCTGTGGTTTTTCTCATTAAAATCATGGTAATGAAAAAACCACAAAATTGAGATGTTCGTAGATTTATTAAGGAATATAACTAATTGCTTTAATAAAATAATATAAGTAATGGCTTTATCCTATAGACTAAATGTTGAATTTCTCACTCGAACAAATAGTCATATTTTGTGCGTACTATAATATAAATATATACTTGAATACTATCGATAAGTGGATAGTGAACAATAGTGCGTCGTTATTTGTCTCTCCTATTAACATAATGATACCTATTTAAATAGGTGCCTTCCAGTGTCTTGCAAAACAATTTACCTAAACTATTTTAATTTACAATAACCTAAACCAATAACTTTGCAATGATGTCATAAATAGATATATTCTATTAAATTCTTTTGTTTTCCGAACTAAAACAACTTTTAACACAATTTTCAACGGAGTACAAAATGATTTTGTGGCATTTAGTATAAACGATCTACAGACGACTGTAAAAGTGCCATATTGAAGCAGTTAGTTTCGTTTGTAAGTCTTTTTAAGTGTATACGCAATTTAGGGCAAATCAGTGGTAATAACGGAACAGTGGTGAGAGGTTTCTTATATCTAAGAAGTTATCTAGAGGGCTCCCTAGGTCGCTTCTTAGATATGTATTAGATTCTTCGTATGTCAACGTAAATCGTCACGGGAGATGAATAATGATTAGAATAGGGTTGTGTTTAAACGATTTTATAATAAAACACGAATGAATAATAATTTATGTAAATGAATATTGAATTAAATTCCTAAACTTTAGAATCTGTTCTATTTAGGGTAAAAAGGGCACAACAGCGCATAAAATTGAAATATCATCAATTAAGAACTCCTATCTTATTCATGGAAATCAATTAAAAAAAATGAAATTTTTGAAATTTGTTTATTTCATAGCTATTTAATAGATCTACACATAATAGTAGCATAATGAATGTAGATTTTATTATTTCATGACAGTTGGTATTAATAAAATATCAATTGGTTATTGTAGAGTGTGGAAAATTATCAGATTGGCTAACAAAGTTTATGACTGAAGCGTACAGTATAAGGATAAAGTAAATAGGTACAACTTGGACTTTCCAGTATGCAATTTGAAATAAGTTAATAATTTCAATGTGAAAAGGTAATAACCGTTGGAATTTTGTTTCCTTTATATGATAGTAGAGTATATGAAAATTATATTTTTTATTAGTTATATATTCCTTTATAGTAGTAGATGAAAATGTATTGATATGTATATCACTTTAATCCTTCTGTAATGAGTAGGTATATATTATGATCACCAGCGTTCATTGACTCCTCTTTTGTATTACAAGTGCAGTGTAAAGAAAACTTTTATTTGTAACGGGAATGATAAATGAACTGACTTCGCTGAAGGAAACAGGCAAACCGTGACTGGAATCATAGACATCATGTTATCCATCCACTTTGCCATTCTGTATGACTAAGGAATGGCAACATACCTATAATAGCATTGCCATATTCCACAGTCAAATCCAAAAATGAAAACACTGCTCACAAATCAAAATATACTTGCTGCAAATATAAGTGGGACAGAGGATCACGCAGTATACTTATACGCAGTGTTACCTCGGTAATACCATAGATAACATAATATTACATAGTAATACTATGACTTGTGTGAAAAAAGGTTCACGATAAAAGGTGGTATAACATACGAAATAACTGATCATAATATAAAGTAAAAATATACTGCGTCGTAAATAATTATTAGTTTGTATGTTACCTCATCTTTATCAATGTGGTACCAAATGTATTGAGAAATTGCAAAGAATTTATAGTAAAAAGAAACCAGATATTAAATAAATGCTTTGCATTGTTGTGCCTTGTTATTAATTACTTGTATTTATTATTTGCTTGTGCATATTATTGTACGTAACTATAACTCCATCTAGTCTACTTATTTGCTTATTTATAACAATATGCATTTAAACGAAAGTAGAGTGCACTACTTCACATATCCGCATGTCAAATATTCAGTTACATATTAACACTGGCGGTGTATTACCACAGTGCCAACAAGCAACTTTCACCTTTAAATAAATGTAGAAAAGATTAGAATTGTATACTTGTTGACGTTATACTGACACCGTAAATCGGCGTGCATGAACTTGACCGTTTCGCTGTTACATAAACGAAGACAGGTTTTTCAATTTGCGCTGTTATAATAACCGGAATAATTTTGGCTGGATCAATTTGTGTAATGTTACTTCTTACCCTTATTCAAATGAATCGGATTGGAGTAGCTGATCGAGCGAGGTGGATATATAGAGAGACGATCTCGCGGGCGCGCAGTCCGAGTCTGTCGTGCGCATGACGGTTTTGTGTTTTAGTTTTACGAGGCGCAACTCGCGCGCATTCATCGTCTTAGCGAAATAATGCACTTCTGATAGCAAAGTTCCTGTGTATTGATAAACATACGTGAAAGTTAAATTTAGTGATTATTGTGGTGCTATATTAAAAGAACAATGTTGAGCGGTTGGCAGCTAATTTTGTCTAAACGTAAGTTAAAATACATAAATAATATTTAAAATACATTTGGACTTTTAAAAATTAATTATTGATATTTTTAAATTATTCTTATCAAAATATTATAAACGATTTAAATTTAATAAAGGTATAGGTAATATTTGTAAATTTATATGTACTCAAAATATTAAATTATAAAAACTTAGAAGTCTTCCAGTCAATTGATTGAATAATTTTATTCAATAATTTGACTAGAAGAGGTCGAAGTTTTAAATTCATAGAGTTAAATCTACAAAATTACGGTTGGGTGTGACTAAAATCTAGTAAATATATTAGTGTTACAGCCATATAAATAACTATTTCTTCGTGATTCTAGACTGTAGGCAGTTATAAAAATCTGACAATTAAGTGCTTCAAGTTAGACTGGTTTTCAGTTGCAATGTGATTCTTAAAATTATTGATTGATTCTTAAATATCAATATTATTAAATTTTGTTTTGTAACAAGTATTATATTAGCTACGTGTTTATTTTATTTTATTAAGTCTTTCTTGTTGTTGAATTTTTAACGCTTTTGTCCTAGCTATTATAATAATAAATATACAGAATAAGTCTAATAGGTCTGTCTTGTTTGTTTTGTTTTTTACTTTTTTACAAGATAAGTATATTATAATGTAAATTTATTATAACAACTCAACAGATTTTCATGTAATGTGTCAAAAAAAAATAGACTATAAGTATTATTAGGACGAACATACATTATCTTTTATATATAAAATAATAGTGAAGGGGTAAAAAAAGGTATGCAACTTTGTCACAAAGTAGTCCTGGCTAAAAGGTGTAGCCTATAAAAATAGTGGTGATATGTAAAGGACAAATAAGATTAAAAAACAAAACGATGTAACGCGATGAATTAAACATTGAAAAGCTAAAGAAATGAGTTCGAAGTTGATATTCATACTGAGACAATTACATAATATGTTGTTATTGTATTGAGTACATTAGTAATATATACACGGTTCTTCAATTCAAAATACTAAGTGTGTGATGTTACATTAAACGTACTTACCGAAGTAAAGTTCGTGACACTTCATGTCTCACCTACATATATCAACCGCCAGTAGCTTGCTTTGTGAGCGATCAGTTGAAGGGTGAGACTGACGAGGCCGAAATATAAGAATGAAATTTCATGATAAGAGGTAGGATAGGAAGTCCTCCGAAATATAGAGCTGTTCTTGTATGTCTATAGGCAACTCTTACCATTAGGTGAACCGTTACCGTTGATATACCAATTACATAAAAAAAAATTCGAGGTAGATATATATTTACCATACTTATGTACCTAACATCAAACAATGATACCGTATACTTTATAGAATCTGCCTTTCATTCATTCAACCCTTCCCATATCAATTATGATTTGGGGTCTGTTGGTTTAATTTTTTTTTCCTCCATTACTGTTCACAGTTTCCTCAATATCCACTCCTTTTCTTGTTATTTTATTTCTCAGACAATCCATCTATCTCTTGCCATTGAAGTCTTCTCATTACCTCTACCAAAAAATACTATAAACATCTGATTAATTGATAGAATAAAAAGAAATAAGCCGAAAATAATTTATCATATCGTGAATTGATACTATGAGTAGGTATCTTATTTTACAAACTATAAGACTTAGTCTTGTAAATACTAATAATCATAATAATCCAGGACGATTCACACAACGTCATCTAGTCACAAACTAAACAGAGTTTGTACTATGGGCACTAAATTATGCATATCATATACCTATACACTTTATTTCCTTTCTATAAAACACCCAGATCAATACTATCAATCATACTCATGACTACAGTTTTTTGTATCATGCGAGGAATCGAAACTGCTACCATCTCAAGTAAAGTGGTATGCTAAGCCGCTAGACTTAGACCAAGGCCATCAATACAATCAAAATTATTATTTCATACATTTATGTATTAAAAAAGTTCCAATAATTTGTTTCTAGTTCTTTTATATATATATGTATCTCATTATTACTAAATAGCACGGTCACTTTGCGGTTTTCTTAAAATACCTACTTACATCTAAAATATCTGTGTTTGATAGAAAGGCTGCTGTTACTTTAATAGTGTCCTTCTATTTTAGTTTCGTTTCATAAGCGATTCACAACTTATATAAGACTAGCAGTTACCGGCGGCTTCGTTTAGAGTTTTATAGTAAATAAAATTCTATAAATCTTTAACTTCATTTTTATGTGAAATTCTTTAATTTATTCAGTTGTCTAGTCCTGAAAAGGTAAAGTCAGTCAGACACACACATTTGCATTGCAATATTGATATTGATGATTCGCCCTGCGGCGTTGATTGCAATTTTATTGCAGCTATCAAGACAGTCCTTGTTGCAGCATCTTAATAATTACGTAATTATGTTATTTATTTTTATTCCCAGCGCAATATTGAAAGTTCAGTTTAAAACCCATAACAGGTTTTTATTACTTTATTATTAACACGAAATTATAAATAAAATATCGAAAGTATTAGCAACCTATTAATAATGGTTGTTACGATCTTCGTGTACATTATGTATTCTGAATAATTGTATGTTCAATCTTTAGATTTTATAACATTTAAAACAAATTGACTTTAGACCAGACTGATTAGAGAACATGAGACACAATTACATTAAATTCTTACATGTTCTTTCATATCATTCACGATAGTTTGATAATTTAAGTTTCGGTAATATTTGATTATATTCTTTATTTCCTTACTGTTAACTGATTAACCTAGACCTCCTAATAAAAACTACAAATAACCCAATGAATACTTAAAAGAAATGAATAACATAAACTTGTTTCATATTATAATTAATATCAACGTAATGGTATTTCTAGTTATTCAGTAATATGCTGAATTTATTAATAGTTGTCATGTACTAAGAAAATACTATACCATAACAAAAAGAATAAATAAATATTGTAATACACAGTAATAATAAAGTCAATAAATTGCACATTGTAATGTAGAGTCGTGTCAACTAAACATTCACATGTGCCTAGGAAGTCAATTGTCGCAGATTTATTCATGCACGTCATGGAAAAAATAAATATTTATTAATGTATACATGCAGTCCTTGGCATATTATAAAAAATAAAATAAATACTTCATATAATGTTACTTTATTTAAAGTACTTACTTTACTTTATTTCAACTAAACCATATATATAGTATTATGCTACAACCTATTTATAATTAGTAAATATAGATTAAAAAGAATTTTACTTTTATTGTTATTGCAGCACAGTTTGTAAGATCACAAAAATGGATACATAATATCTATGACTAATAAAAGTTAAGTACGTCCATAAATATGTGGATTAGTTAAAAGTAACCTACAAAAAAGTTTTATACTAGTAAATTATTTTTTCAACAAGCAACAATTCAAAGTGTGAAATGAAATAATTATGTACACTTGGATTCGATTGACAGTATCGAATTTTCTTCACACAGTAAAAAACGATAAAATGCATTTTAACCTCGTCTCTTGTATTACACAAAATGTTTAAAACCCGTATAATTAGACAGCATTGCATTGAACACAATTGCCTATGCTTGGGTGGTTTTATTTCGAAATTTATTTTTAAAACAATATAATGTTCGTGCGATAAGTAACAAACAATAGGTACCTGCGTAGTGGATATAAGTCAAACAAATATAGTTTACTTATTTATAATGAATACCATGTCCTATTAGATCTGTTTTGCTATGTTAATATCTGTCGTATTTATTAACTAATATGTAAGAATAATTTATACATTTAAATTTGATTGAATTAAACCATTTTCATTTTACGAATCCTTCAATTAAAATTAGTACCTGATTCTTTCTTATATATTTTTGTTTACCAATTTACATTTATTTGATACCGTTTTTACTGTAGAGCGATTATTAGGAAATGTACCTATTATCTATAATCTGTAGATATTATTAAGAAAATTATATTAGTAGACAGTTTTACAATTTTTTATTAGCATACTAAATAAATATAAATCCCGAAGGGATTTGCAGAAGGAATTGAACCATAAACGTATCTATAATAATAATGTACTACATCCATAATAATAATAAAACCCTAAATATATATTTTTTACATTACTTTCCTAACTAATAAAGATATTATTCCTTGCTTAGCCTATTATGTATTCTGTGTTATTATATTACCTATTTAATGTACAAAATTTCAAGTATACTAGAACAAATGCGATATTATCTGCAGATTAAGACGTGCCCACACGGCAATAAATACGCAATGATACTAGCTAATTTATGGTATTAAGGAGAAAGGGGCCCGAGCCTGTCGAACGACTCTTATACCAGTAACTTGCAATTAGAAGAACTACATGAACATTTATTTAATTCCTCCTCCTTAGGAATATTGCACAATGTACAATCTACAATAGAATTCTACTGTGTGAAATATGTTAGAAATTTATTACTATTTCAATGCTAAAAGGTAAAACCATTAAACATTGTGATATGATTACTTCAAGTAGAGAATCTTTTTATCACGTCGGGGTCACGTTATGGGCTTCATCTGGATTATATTTATGTGTATTGAAATAAAATTACAAATCAAATGATTATCTAATTTAATTTTCTAGGAGACCAAAAAGAATGATATATTTCAGTTACGCGCGCAGCTTCACATGCGCGTTGCCTATATAATGTGTTTATATACGATTACAGCCATATATTAACTACATATTAGTGTTAACATCACAAAATGTCATCAACATCATAATTGTACTAGTAAATCTCGTGCCATGCCACGTTTTGCCCAATGAAACAATGATAATTACACATTCCGTTATTTAATGACCGATAATGAATGATGATACTATGCAGATCCAATAGTAATAACAGCTGTTTACTACAATGACAGCGTTTGCGTTTAATTGTTAAGTACGAGTATCCGATGGTATTTGATATACTGCAGATAATGATATTATTCTAAAAGAATGAAAATGATATCTGTC